TAGCAACTGGCATACGGTTTAATGTGAAGTCAACAACAACAACAACCATAGGGGTAGCCGAACAAATGCACGCAGGAGTAGGGTAGTTCGCGAGGCGTGTTTTACTTCGAACCGACACAATGATGACAGATGTAGCCATTGGAGCACTGGAGCCGGGACCAAGCGCGGCACCCACGGGCGCAACACAGCTGTGGTGTTTGGCAAGAGCAACACGCATCGCGCTGCACGATCCTCCTGCTCTATAAAACCTTGCCTGGAGAAGGTGCTGGTTTCGTGTTGCTCTATGGGGATAGACCGCCGGTCGTGGGCTTGCCAGAGCAAAAGGGCCAGCTCCAGTTCTGACAACGAGGGAACGCTGGTGGACGCATCGCCTAGTTCGCCCGCTGCCAGGAACCCTGCAACCCCGCAGGATGACAGAGGCTATTGCCGCGAGAGCAGCCTTGGAAGGAAGGAGTTTCCGGGTGGGATCGGCGCTGTTGGGAGCGATAGAAGACCATGGGTGAACCAACCTTCCTACCTAGAGGTGGGGGGAGCTGCTGCTACTTTCGAGTTTTTTCATCGCGACATTTCCAATTTGCGAAGTTCGGCAGCTCTAGTTCGGAGACGAAGTGTGCGGGAATGTGCGTAGATTCGTTGGAAACAAGTGGACAGCAGGGTGAAGGAAGCAGTGTTTTCTTGACATGGCAGGAGGCACACGCCACGGCAGTAGTCATCTCGAGGCGTCGGCGCCGACGGCACACACTTACATGCAGGGGCATGCATGTAGTGGGCAGCACGATTGTACCGCGCATGTACGCATACGTATACTGGTCCTACTGCTGTTTATCTATGTGGTGGGAGCGGTCTGCACATCTGGACGTTCGTCCCCCCCAAACACAGCATCACACACGAAAGGCTACCCCTTCCATGATGGGTAGTTTTTTCATTTCTCGTACGTTGATACCCACCGCTACAACATCCGTATGCGTGCACGCGTTCACACATGTATGAGTGTATCTTGTTTCTTGTCCATGGTACGTCGCAGCAGTCAATCCTTCTGCGAGAGATGGAAGGTAGTGGCCGAATGCGCTTCGTCGCGTCCGATGCCAGCGGTGTCTGGTGCCACATGCATATTGCTATGCGTGCATACGCAGGAGTTTTTCGTCTTTTTCGCGAACATCGTCAACCGAAAAGTGCTTCAAACGACGCCATGTACATAACACCGACAACACAAGCCCAGGTCGAAACCAACCGTTAGATCCGATCGTGCAACTGGTTCCGCCGGATACATCCAACTTGGGATTGCGGGATTGACACAACGGCTGGTGTGCGATTCTCACAAATCGCCCCATAATATTCCCGATGAAGTGTACATGTAGACTACTTACAGCTGTAGACACCTGTCTTAGATAGATGTGACATGTTTGAGTGTGACATGTGCCGGAACTGCCGCGCATATCTGCTGCGTCATGTGCCATATCAACAGTGGACAGAGCAGTGCAAAGAGAGATGTTGGATTTCGTGCAGCCCGGCTGGTTTTTGCTGATCCATCGCCAAGTCAGACGCAGGGTAATGCCACGACACAGCCCGCCCTTGAGGAAAATGCTGCAAAATGTTTTGCCGGTCGATACGAATTCCCCTTCGACGACACCGGGGGCATCTGTCGTATGGATGCTGAAGTGCTGGTGTGTCCTCTGCGCGATGTACCCCCATGATTGAAGCTGCTTGTATTGCTTTTTGTTTTGTCCCACCGAAAATGTACATCCAAAAAACATGGAAGCTCCTGCCAACCGTTGATCTTGAGCATGGTGCCTTCCGCTCCGGACACACACGAAGTTTCTCGAGACCCAAGGCAGGCCTTGCAGCTAGCTTCACCAACGTTATTGTCATCATCCCCACCGANTAGCTTCACCAACGTTATTGTCATCATCCCCACCGATACACCGGTCGCCCCGGTGGTCTAGTAGGTAGCCTCGCAGCCTGCTAAGGGCCAGGTCATGGGATCGAGTCCCGGCAGAGTGAGTTTTTTTCTCACTGAATAAATCCTGGTCTAGGACGAAAGCGACGCGTTGCAAAGCTCGTTGTTAGTAAACCATAATCGACTTCGTACGTCCCGAGGGAAGGGATTGCTCTACCCTTCTCGTGATAAAACTACCTCAGGGAGGAACCGCAGGAGGGGGTCCAACCCCCCCCTCCTATGTGACCCCGGTTGGGTCGTCTAGCTAGTAGAAGTGGAGGATAGGGGCCAGAGGGGCAGACGACGAAGTCCAATGATGGGAGAAAAAAAAAAAACGGGACCCCCCCCCCGGTGAGAGCCGGCGAAAACCCGGCATATCACCCCGTCCCGTCCCGGCATTTTAGGAATGCGAGGTCAATGGTCTAGCGACAGCGGCATTGGTGTACATGAGTTCTCCCCCCCGCTGCCCGAATTCCCAGGTCACGCGGTCGCCCAGCTACTTGAAGGGGACGGCGGGTCTTACGGTATCGCCCTCCCCGGCGGCGGCGGCAGCGGCGGCGGTAACCGGGACTACTACCCAGCACCCCAAAGCGGTCGTCGCGCGCTCGCCCTCCTCGACCACCGTTATGGAAAGCCCCCCCGCGCCGGTACGCACGGGCAGACCGAGCAAGCCAAGGCGGGCTGCTGCTGCTGCTGCTGCTGCCGGGGGTGGTGTGAGAGTGCCTCCGCTCGGCTGCGGTGGTGGTGGCGGCGGCGGCGGCGGCGGCGGTGTCGCCCAGGGCCAACAACTTCTGCCACCGCCGGCTCTCCGGCGGGAGGTCGGCAGCGGTTTGTTCAAGAGCGACGCCAGAAACAGCTGCGGCAAGGGCGGCGCAGGCTCAAGCGACGTTGTGGCGGTGGCGAAGAAGCCCTCGCATTTGCGCTACCTCTCGCCCGCACGGGAGCAGCAGAAAGAAGAGATTTTCTCTTTCGGCAGGAGCAGCAGTGGCGGCGGCAACGAAGGCGGAAAGCGAGAGATGTTCTACTTCGGCAAGAGCGGCGGCGGGGACTTGGGGGATACCCCGAGTACCCCGGGCCCCGGCCAGCCAGCCCCGTCGACGCCAAGGGTAGGACAACATCAGTCGTGCCCAACGGGGACGGACGGCGAGCACCTACCTCCTGAGACACGGGGGGCGGCGATTCCCATGACGCCGAAGGTGGCGAGAGGTCCCGATACTCCGGGGTACGCGTCCACCCCGTGCATTTGCTCTCCTCCGGCCCCGCTCCATCGCGGCATTACCGGCAGCGGTCAGCCCAGGGCGTCCAGCAGGCTGAGCATTGGAATCGACTGTAGCGGCCCCAACAACGGCAGCGGCCGCCCGCCGCCGGCCGCGGCGGCGGCGGCGGCGGCGGCCGGCAATGACGGGGGTCAGGGCTTGGCCCCGGGATGGGCGGAGGGCGAGGAGGATTTCATCAGGAGTGGAACAACGGCGGCGGCGGCGGCGGCGGCGGCGGCCCGTCGCCCCGCCCGCGCTCGACGAAAATGCCGGCTGAACCAGCGGAAACCCAACCTCGCGTACGACAGCGATTCCTGCGGAGAAAGCGCGACTGAAGCGGATGCCGACGGGGACGGGGCGGAGACGAGCGGCGGCCTCCGCGGCGGCTCTCAGGGCAGCGGTGGCAGCAGCGCTGCCGATAGCTGTCGGCGGGAGCGATCGACGAATCGCAAGGAACAGCTGCTCGATGCCTCTTCGTCGGAACGGTTTTCGGAAGAATTTTGTGGCAGGGATGGTCAAGGAGGAGGGGCTGGGCAAGGGTCGGGTGCGTGGGCAGGGGCGGGCGCGGAGGCGTGTCCCAAGGAGCGCGGGGTTAGCCGCCGCCATAGGAGGAAGAGGAAGCCGGTCGTGCGGCGAGACGAGGTGAGCTTCCGTGGTCGCTGGCGCTGTGCGCGTCTTGGTAGAGGCTAGTGGCGGAACCAAATTTTCGGTTTGAATTTGCTGCGCTTTGGGTGGTGCGCACGTGCGGAAGACGCCACCACCACGGCGTTCTCCTTAGTGCCCTCCCGTCGCTTGTGAACGTGTGTGTTTCTATTAGACCACGGTCGCTTTTAGAAACGGACCCAAAAATGTCAGTTCACCACCTCCTTGATCGCGTCGATCCCGTCACGGATCATTGGTACCTTACACCCTAGGGTCTGACCGATTACGGCGGCTACTTAAGTAATCAACACCCCCTCCCCCCACCGCGAAACCCCGGCGTACTCCTGCCCCCCTCCGATTGACTCCGCTTTGCAGGAAACTTTGATCGATTTCAAGGACCGCATGGCGGCCATCACTTCCGCGACACGCCTTGCGGCGACCGCCACTGCCACCGTCACCACCAGCTCTAGGAACGCCTTCCTCATGGCAACTCCCCCCCACCCCATCTCGTCCTCGGCCCCGCCGCTGCCCCGCCGACGCCTCCTGAGCGCGGCGTCGCCTTCGCTGTCGCCGCCCCCTCCCGCCGCCGACGCCGCTCCCGAAGGCCGCTGCCCGTTGAGCGGTGGCGGCCCCTCGAACACGCGCAGGCCCTCGGCCGCGGACGGCTCCCCCAACCCGGCCGCGGGAAGTTCCTCGGTCGATGCCGACAACGTCGTGGCTGGTGGTAGCTCGGAAGTTTCCTGGGGAGGCTCGTCGTCGGGGTCGGCTTGGTCCACTCCCGAGCGGCGACGGAATGGGGAAGAGGAACCCGGCAGGGCAGCGGCAGCGGCAGCGGTAGCGGTAGCAACGGCTGGGCTGGATGGTGGCGTCACGGCGTCGCCAAAGAGGGAGGGCGCCGCCGGGAGGTCGGCCGTGCGCCCGCCGAGGACGACGCTCAAACCTTCGGAGAGAACGGCGCTGAAGACTCGCCCGTGGCCAGACTTCGAGCGTATCAGGTCCGTGCGTGGGTGCGTGTGTGTGTGTGTGTATGTTTATGTGTAGGTGTGGGTAGAACTAGCTTAACAGCAGTGGTGGTTGAGAGGGACGTTTTCGGTGGGAGAAGCATACTCTACGGCGTACTTGTTCAATGTGGTTCCTTGTGCTGCGACCGTCGAGTATTTTGCCAAAGGTTATGATTGAAACTGCCCTTTTGCTCAAGTGTCTGTGTGGCGGTTAGAATAAGCCTGGAAAAGTCCTGAAAAGTTCGCTGTCCTTGTGTTGTCCGTCTAGTTTGTTTTTTCCGGGCGCGAATCGTACCCTGAAGAAGCATTATTTAACGCTTTTCCTTGGTGTTTCTGGGCATGCTTCTCGCGATTCATTCAAGCACCAAGCGCTCGTCCATACCACCAATGACATCCAGAGGCCACTGGCGAGGTGGGATGATCAAAGCCGGGCTCTCTTGCTTGCTTGTTTCCGACTTCGTTGCTGCGTGCCTCTCGTGGTGGTGACGGGTCACGACGGCCACAGTTGTCACTAACGTTAATAACTTTTGTTTGATTCTTGTTAGATACCACCACGTTTTTTTAGACAGGCAAAATGGTAAAATATTTTCTCTAGAACCTTGTTGTTTCGTTTTGTATTTGTTTTCATTTAGTTGGTGGTACTCACGCCGAAAACGCTGGTGGATCTAAAATCGCTCATTGTGATCACATTTTTCGATTAATGTTGCGATTCTCGATATTTTAAAATTATGCGTAAATTCATGTTGTGCCACCAGGTACGAGCCGCCGGAGTCAGCGGTAACAACTCCCCTGAGGCGCTCGGACTGGAAGGTGCCCCACGGCTCCGCCATGCACGCTCTCGCCGCGGCTCTCAACGAGGCGGCCGGTAGCACTGCGGTGAGATCTCGATCAACATTGTGCCAATATTGATGTTTCATCTCTACAGAGTACACATGGTTGTTGCCATGGATATGTTTTGGCTGGATGGAGTTGATGAGCACTTGGACGTACGGAAGGGATGCTCACACCACAGGTGTGTGTCCACCTTTCTTGCACGAAGAAAAACGTCCGTGGTGGCTACTCCGTTGGATGTTACTTGTAGCCCGTAGCTAAAGGTCAAACGTAGCCGCAGCAACATTCTCTTTCCCGACGCAAAATCGCTTGGTAGTGCTCTTCGCCGCTGGACATGCGGCAGGAGGGCCGAGAGAGCGTTCGACGGAGGTATCAGGAGCGAGCGGACCACTTCCGGCTCATTCAGGTAACCAGCCGTCCTTGCTGACTCACAGTCGTCGGGAGTTGCGATCGCGCCCTGTTGCTCTCTGTGTTGGAGGATTTTTTTAGTGCAGCTGTTGTGGTGGTTGCGGTTGTTTTTGTTGTTGGTGGTGGTGCTGGTGGTGCTGGTGGTGCTGGTGGTGCTGGCGCTGTTGCTGTTGCTGCTGCTGTTGACGCTGCCGTTGTTCTTGTTGTTGCCGTTAATGTTGTTGGTGGTGGTGGTGACTACTAAGTGGACCCCCAGCCTGGAGGGTGTCGATGATTTTCACTGGGAAGTCTTGCTGAAAAAATGTAGCCATGCAGCGTGTGTCGTCGTCCCCTGGTTTATTCCTTGCTCGATGTTTGATATTTTGGTCTTGTTGCCTGTTGTTGGCGGCCAGGCGGCGCGAGAAACGTCGGCCGGCAAAGGCTCCGCCATGCTCCTGGCGATGCGACAGAGGCGGCAGGCGGAGGAGGACGCTCTGAGGGCCACGAGAGAGAGGGAGGCTCGCGCGGCGTGGATAAAGGTAAAGGCGTGCTCTCCTTTGTTGAGAACGGGTGTGTTGCGTGTGTTCAGCAACCCAACCCGGGTTAGTTTTTCCCTCCGGGTAGGCAAGAGAAAATCTTGATAGTTAACCCTCCCTGGCGGCAAGATATGGTTTTGTTCAGGTTGTGGTTTTCGGTGGCGTGCTGCCTGGCGTTGTGCTGTTAAGAGTTGCAGGTAAGGCGTTTCGGTGCGGTGAGAACATTTTTTTTTTTTCTCCCATCATTGGACTCTGTCGTCTGCCCCTCTGGCCCCTATCCTCCACTTCTACTAGCTAGACGACCCAACCGGGGTCATATAGGAGGGGGGGGCTGGACCCCCTCCTGCGGTTCCTGCCTGAGGTATTTTTATCGTGAGAAGGGTACAGCAATCCCTTCCCTCGCGACTTACGAAGTCGATTATTGTTTACTAACAACGAGCTTTGCAGCGCGTCGCTTCCATCCTAGTCCAGGATTTATTTAGTGAACAAAAAACTCACTCTGCCGAGAGAACATGTTATGTCCGGTTTCCCGCGATCGCGGCTCTTTGGTGCCGACAACAGCAGTTGTGCGCATGGGACACGTCCGTCCCGTACACCCGCAGTACCGCCGACGGGTGGTCCCATGAGAAGGTTCAGGCAATGCATCTGGTGGGATTGGGCTTTTTGTACGGTCCTAGCTGTTGTTGTATTTTTTACCGATCGTTGCCAGGCAGCGGTAACAGCCTCCCCCCAGGGAGTTAGTCGATCCGTACGAATGTACACAAGACACTTTGCACCCAGACGCAAAAATAGAAAATGTGCCATGAAGGCAAGAAGAGCGCGTTCTTTCGTGTTCCGCAGGAGAGGATCCTGATGCGCATGCTCGAGGGGCGTAAGGCGGCCTTTCTCGCATGGGCCTGGCACACCAGAGTCTGCCGCAACGCGCAGCAGATGGTCAAGTCGAGGACGGCCTCGCTCTCGCTGAAAGTTCTCACGGCGTGGAGGGGGGAGGCTAACCGATCGAGGCGAATTCGGGAGTTCGTCATCAAGTGAGAGAGGCGTTTTGTTGGGTCTTTGGTTGTATCGCGTATACTTGGGTGTTTTTGTGCATCATCTTCTATCTTTTTTGTGTTTAGTGTGTTGCGGGGGACGTAGAAGGTCCGTCAAGGCAGAGGGGAGGAGAGAAATTTTGTTTGTTGTTCCTTTCGTCGTGTTGGGCTGCTGTTGCGTTCTCCTAGCGTTTCGTGGACATGTTTTGGGTTGGGAGGGAGAGGGATTTGGCCTACGGCCAAGGGGTGTGCGTCTCGGTGCTGCAGCAGCAGCAGTCTGCTCTTCGTACAACGCTTACGACTAGGTTGGGGACTATTGATTAATTGACCGAAATCGTATGCTGCCCTTTGCACTAGTTTTCGTCCACAGCTTGTGAGGATTTGGTTTCTCCCCGCTCTCTCCCAAGCGCCGTCAGCAGTGCCGCGGCACCTCAACCCGTGTCCCGAAGCGTTTTCCCGCCTGTTCAGCACCCCTTTCTCGCAAATCTCGGGCTGGACTGCGATACAGCCGGAAGATGGCGCAGATGAGACTCCTCGTTTGGGTCACGCGGTTTTGATTGATAAGGAGGATGATTACCGCCAACACTCCGCCAGACGGTGAAGCATCCTTTTGTGACCTCATTTTGTTTACCACTGCTGTGTTGTGGTGTTTGATTAAGCACAACCCGTTTATCCCCCTTATTCCTCCTGATTTACGCCGCCCTCGTCGTGGCTGCTAGTTTCGGGGTGATTTTAGGTCATTCTCGCGTGTGTGTGCATCGACCGCGCCATTCGACTGACCAATCGAAACATGTCAATCTCAGTGCGAATGAAAATGCAGAAAACGCTTCTAAAAGCCAGAACATCTCTCTATGTTGTGCGATCGTCTGCGTGCTTTAAACTCGCCGCAGGCACGTGAGTGGGTCGAAGCGAGCGACCTTCATGGCCTGGAAAGAATCGACCAGGAAGTCTGTGGCCGTGCGGAAGATGGCGCTTTCCCAGCTGCAAGGAGGTCGGAAGGTGCGCGCCGAGACGACAGACTAGATAGTACACGGCCTGTGAAGTTCGAGTATATATATATATATATATATTTTTTTTTTTTTAGGCTGTTCGACGATTTCCTCTCACTCGCCAGAAAAGGTCCTGCTGACGCGTGGTCGAGCGTTCGCCTGCATCTGTGCAAAAATGAGAACCGTCGCCCGCTACCGATGAAAATACCGCTCGCTGGCGATCCTCGATGCCGCTTTTGTTGTGCCGTGGCATTCTTGCCGCTGTTAATCTTTTTTGCTTGGTTTGTATTTGTTGAGAATGTATTGCAACCACAGAGATAAGCGCAGTACCGTAAGGATTCGACAGAACACGGGGCTCGGTGATGCCGCACGTGCCGGTGATATCGCACCCCCGAACGAAAAAATAAAAACAAGAACGGAAAGATTGAGTACGACTATCGCACGTATCACCGACACCGCGAGCCTCGAGTGGGTCCGGGCCACTCACTGCGCCGGAGGTACCTCGCGGTGTCGTCGTGACGCGTGGTATGTACTCTACGTATGACTGGACGTGTGTTGTGTGTTTCATTTCATTGTTCTGCAATACGGCCGTGACAGGTGGGGTATCGCACATATGGGAGTTTCCGCACGGGGGTGTATGTCGGAAGCGGCCAGCACTACTGCCTTGGGGTTTGTTGTTTACTCAGCAGTGTCATACGTTTCGGGGTAATGGTACCCCCAGTGCAATGAACGTTCAGGGTCGAACTGATGTTGTTCGGTTACAATATCGCACGGGGATCGTTGATATCGCACGTACCGGTGATACCGCACCCCCGCGCGATAAAAGCTCCAAAACGATATATTTTGAAAGTCGATCGCACCCCCGTGCGTCATCTCACATCCTTACGGTAGAACCCGAGAGGGGATGTGTTGAGTTTTTTTCCCGCGAGTCGGGAGAAAACACCGACGGGAAACCGCATCTTTTTTTTTTGTCCGCTCCTTTCGCCAGTCCTGCTTCTACGCCTGGAGGAAGGCGACAAGGACCAACTTGCGCAGGCGAGAGCTCGCCCTGGAGAAAAGCGCGCTGGCCCGTTCGGCTCTCAGCGGCCTGGCGGGTACCCGAAGCCGCTTCGTGAGGTGGAGGACGTGGGCCCGGCGGAGGGCGGCAGCGCGGAGGATGGCCCTGAGAGCGAGGGAGGCTTGGCTGCAGAGGTTAGTTGCCTCAGCGAGTATGAAGGAGAGGAGGCGGTTGTTGCAGTTACAACATGTTGGTGGGTGGTGCTGGTGCTGGTGCTGTTGCTTTTGCTACTGCAACGGCTGTGGCGGCTGCAAGAATGCAGAAGTAGGAGAGAGGGTCATGGTTACAGCTCAACTGCACCCGCTGCTGCATGCTTGGTTGCTCCTGCTAGTCGCGGTGGTGGTGTTGGAGCTCTGCTGCTGCACCTGCGCTTGTCGTTGCCGTGTTTGTTGTCCTCCGGACGTGCGGTCCTCACTCCTTCGCGTAGTGTATCTAACGTCTTCCCACCGCCGCCGCTCGCTGCCCGATTTTTTGTTCTATTGGGGGCGCGTGCGCTCACGCCCGTAGGTGCTTCCTGGCTCTGGCGGGGAACCAGCTGAGGCTCCGGCAGCGGCTCGAGGAACGACGGATGGCCACGCTAGCGGCCGTTTTTCAGGGCTGGCGTGTCGGGCTCGGGCGCCTGCTTCGCGCCAGGCTCGCCCCCACCGCGGATAGGGGTACCTTCACCGCAGACGACGGGGCCCCCGGCGGCGGCGGCGGCGGTGGTACCACACGTGATGCGAGAGACGGGGCCCCTCTCTATTCCTCGGTGGACGCTGAGGGTTGGGGGTTTGCCCCTGCCCGGGAGGAGGAGAAAACGGAGGTGTTTTCTCCCGGGAAGGGGGGGGCGGGATCTCCCGATAACGGAGGAGGTGGCGCCGGCGACACCACCGACCGCGGCCGCGGCAAGCGGTCGGAAGCGTTGGGGGTGGGGGGGGCGGTAGCGTTAGACAGCGATGCTGTCTCCCCGAGCGATGGTGGTGCTACAGGTGCGCGTGTTCTTCTTCTTCCCCCGTCTGCATTTTTCGCCTCGGGGAAGACGCTCGTGGCGACCAAGGCGGTGGCGGACGAAGAGGTTGGCGCTTCCGTCGAGGCGGCTGGAACTGGCCGATGGCCTGGTGGGGGTGACGATAGTGCTGCTGCTGAGGAGGGCGGTGCGAGGGGCTCGCGCCGTGGCGCTTCGAGGCACCGGAAGAGGCGGCCGAGGAAGGGCGGCGATGGAAGCAGCAGGAGGGCCAAATCTCCGTGAGAGATTTGGCGCAAGAGAAGAAGAGGAGGAAGAACTGTCGATGTTGTGTGTGCGTGCTGTACGCCCAGTATGACGGGGGAGCTTTCTTATCTAGGAGGAGCTTTGTGTTGTCAATATAGGAGAAGAGTCTGTTGTGTGGAACGTTCGAAAGGCACCCCATGACTACCCAAGCTTTGTTGTCTAGGAGAAAAATCTGTTGTGTGTGTCTCGAAACGCACCCCCCATGGCCAGGGCGAGCTTTGGTTGTCATGTGAGTATCGGGAGCAATAGTGTGTTGTGTGGTGGTGTTTGGAACTTTTTCGTGTGCTCTCGATCGATCGAATAAGTCGCCGTTTCGAGAGCAGCTCGACTTGGTCGGGAGCTAGTATGTCGCAGAGCGACGAGTAACACGCTCGTGGAGTAGCTTTTGTGGTGTGTTTTTTGTTCTGTCTGCGCGAACGCGCGTAGACCTAGCGCCTCTGTTGAAATCGAAGAGATGGTCGGACTGGAAGGAATGGACACCTATTCAATTTAGTAGTAGTGTTACATTACATTTGAGGACGGATGGGGGCCACGTCGCGTGTGTTGGCCTCGTTGACCCCCTGGTCGCTTACGCTTGCATGTAGACTTTCACTGCATTAATTGGGTAGGCTCGGTGGCCATATACGTGTTGTCCTTTTTCGGTGAAGGTTAAGGTTGGTGGTAAAGGGGTGGTTCGATATCGGTGTCCTCCCGTCTGGCTTCTGAATGTACGTACGAAATATCATTCCATATATATTTTTTGTCCCCGTAGGTCGCCTCCTCTATTTATGTTGCTTCGCGGAGACCGACACCGAGAGTTTTTCGTAACTGCGATTTTTTTTTTCATTGACGTCTATGTTTTTACTCCGGGTTTTTAAGGCTTGATGACAGATATAGGTGTACAGCCCATACCCCGTGTGCGTCGGACATTCATGGTGCGAAAAATTTACGTAGGGCATCGGGGCGGGTGAATTTGTTGGCTGGTCCATGTTGTATTTTTTTGCACATTGAATTACTTGCTGCTGTGTACTTGTTTCAATTTTGCATGTTTCGATGATGGTTGCACGTTGCTCAGATGGTACTTTTTCGTCTCTCCGTTGGGACTCTTTCTCATCTCTTCATATTTCTCTGTTTCGAGTGCTAGTGTATGCCATGTGACCGCGTCCACCCCACCCCTCGAGGCGAACGAAGGCCTCGGTTGCTCCGTGAGGAAGGCCTCGGTTGCTCCGTGAGGACTCCTTCCGTTGGCGCTTGCTCTGTGGTACCGTACGTCTGCGTTCGCCGCAAGGGCGGTGGTCGAGCCGGGCAGAAGACGTCTTGTGTTGCTTTATTCTGTGTGTCTGGGTTTGTGTGTAGTCTTCATCCACCTGGCCTGCAACAGCACCGCAATATGCATTCATGAACGTCACATTTTGCGCCTTTCGACTTTTTAGATCCCCGAATGCGCCCATCTTCGGTCGCGACCGTTGAACCCGAGCATCGGATAAACGCTCACCTGTGAAGTCTTCACCAACCTGGCATTTTTCTCGCACATCATCTAGCCCTTCGTTCGGAGCGCTAGTCGTACTTACGAAGCTACCGACCTACACTGTTACGTTGTTAGTCCTGTACGGCACGACGTTTGTTGCTTCCCTCCTTGTCATACCTCTTGGGCGACGTGAAAGGGGTGTGTGTCTCCGACTCGTTTCGTTGTCGTACTCTTTTTTTTGTGTGTCTTCATTCCCTCAAGGCATCATTCGAAGGTGCAAAGCGACTTTCTTAGAAATGTTGGTACTGCTCGTCCTTGTAGGGAGGGTTTTCCGAACCGAATTCTGTACCGTTCAAAAACTTATCCCGCCTCTTCCCTGCTCTCCGCTTTGGAGGACGAGGTTGTCATCACGACGGGTGTCTCGGCAAGTCTAACCCCCCTGTACGCACGCGTAGAAAGTTGCTGTCACGAAAAATAATTGTCGAATTTCTAGAACGACCTCGTCGCATCCTGGTGGAGTTGCAATCAAATACAATGCCGTACCGCGTGCCGATGCACCATCAATCACGGAACGACGGCGAGGATTAAGCAGAACGCAGTATGACGCAAAAGCCAGCACGAAAAAAGGGCGGCAAAGAAACACCGAGAGAATGTCTCGAAGCTCTTGCGTTTGACAATGAACCGCAATAAATTGTGGGCGTCGTTCCCCCCATAGCTGATCCTCTCGCCTCACATTTGTTACCCTCCCCTTCGTTCTATCAGATGTGCAAGTACTTGAACCACGCTCGAGCGAGACACTACGCGAAAGAAGGGAGCGACCCAGAGAACGGGGCGCAAGGAAATGCCTCGGGGGAAGAGCACCACCAATATCACATTGTGTATTTTCGTTCAGCAGTCACTCTTGATGTGCACATGGCAAGCAGTGCATCCGCTCACGCCGGCTCCTGAGGTTATAATTGGCCGTCTTAGCTGTCTCAAAAGGCACGCACATCGAAATGAAAAACTAAGGCTGCTTTCGTACACGCAATACGGGCTCGTAGCAACGACATCACTCAAGGGGTAGCATCCCCCAGCCGGAAGTGGTCCAGCGGTAATAATACCTCACCGACCTATCACCATGAAGCAACAACCTGGAACACCATCTTCAACATCCCACCAACACCCAGGGACTAGCTCTACCCTATATCCCCACCTTCCTCTAACTAGTCATCCAAAATAAGCTCTAGCCTGTAACCTCCCATCTAATCTGCGCTCATCCACGATCTACTGTGCTGTAGTTGAGATGTGCCATGATACTATGAACGCAGTCAACCCCTTTGAAAGGAACAAAACGTCGGCAGGGATTTTAGTCGAAGTCGCACTCTGCCGCCAGAGGGTTCATCTCGCACTCCGTGATCGCTCCGTACTGCTGCCCCCCCGCATACGAAATTGCCTGAAAGACGGGGCGGCGAACGATAGAGGGAGACAAAAGCAAAAGCGGGTGGAGAGGTGTGTTGTCGGTACGGTAAGCGTCCCAAGCGACAAAATCAGCGGGTGGGGAGGGGTGTACTCAACCGAACGCATGCCGTAGTCTTTAGACCATTGGCCTGGCCTCCCTACAACGCTAGGACGGAGCGATGTGTATACCGAGTTCTCGCCGCGGCAGAGGCTACGTTTCGATGAACCAGAAGCTGGTCATCACCATCCTTGCCTTTGTTGGGCCAAAACCAGCGTGTAAAGGAGGGATACGCGCGACGCACATATGGTGAGCTGGTTTGAGTGCAGTCCGACGTCGAACGGACTGTTAGGGGTGTCAAAGCGGCGGAATTTGGGGCAAAAAAAACTTCCGGTCCATTCGGCAAAATTTTAGGGGGGCACGCGGATTTGGTTCTTTTTTTTGGTTCTTGAGAATCCCGCTGTTAATACTGAATAAACTATACATCAAGTCAATTTGTTTTTGCAGGCAGCTCTGCGTCCAGACAGCAGCATGGCTCTTCATGCGTTACACACACCTGGACACACGTCCAATAGAGGTGACTGCAAACTCGGTTTTTACTTAAGCTTAAAGGGCGGACGAACAACACAGAAAAACAGGGATATTTTCAGCTGTGTTGCCCACGCCCAAGGCGACCTTTGCTCTTCTCGTGAAAGCAAGATTGCAGTCCTCTGCCTTGGACTTACACCTATACAGCACAACAGACCGCGCCCGAATCGCGTCAGCCAACCCCGAGATCTGCATGTCCGAAAACGGCCCTTCAAGCGGGTCTGCGTCGCCCACCGCGTACCCTCTCCAAAAAAAAAACGGAGGTCCACGACGCTCGGCGGCGGCAGGCGCGCTGCGCTGAATCTAAAGAAAAACAAAGCGAAGTTTGAAGAGAGGACGGGGAAGTCTGTGGCTGAGGCGGCAGCAGCAGACAATACCCGGCGCGCTATCGAGCGCGGCAGCATCACCGCCGCGCAGAAAGCGCTGGAAAGAACGAAGGAGGAGCTGGCCGAAAGTAGGAAAAGTGAGGAAGGGAGCAAAGCTGGTTGCAGCATGGCTCTGGAGTTTGTGTGCGAGAAAGACGAGGAGCTCAAGTCGGAGCGGGCATGGAGACAGCAGGCCGAGCAGGAGAACAGCAGGCCGAGCAGGAGAACAGCAGGCCGAGCAGGAGAAACAAGCCATTGGGCGAGAGAAGAAGTCGGCGGCGGCGGGACAGCGCCAGGCGGAAGAGAGAACCCGTTGAATGATCAGAGCACACACACGAGCGGCACCCTCGCGCGTATGCGTCAGAGGGTCTTTTCGGGAGGTCCCGACGGTTCCGTGCAATTTCATTGGTTGGTCGATTTTCCATCAGCAAGATCCGAGGACACTTTGTCAAATATTTTCCGATAGGAGTTTTCCGCTTTGACACCCGTAACTATCTTCGCAAAAGTAAAGTCTATTACGAAAAGAGAACCAGGCAGGGGGCACGCAGACCCTACCCCTAACCCCAACCCCAACTCAGCCGATTCTAATTTCCATCCGATATGTTAGCTTCGTCAGAGAAACTTGCGTGGACTACTGCTTCCAAGCTACCCACGGGAGCGAACGAAACAACACTGCGGCAAGAGCGGCGACGGAGCCGTTCCCCCCCCACACACCACCACAAACAAAAAAGCAGACGCGTGTGTCCGGCGAACGAGTACTGTACAGGGAAACAGGTTTAGGTGTCTAGCACCGTCCAGCACGAACAATTGGCGGAAAGACGAAGCAGCAATACTGATTGTCATTCAAACAAGCGGCGTGGGCGAGCGATGTGAGGCAGAACACGCTTGCAGGGCTAAACGGGGTGCAGGGTACATGTACCTTCAGGGACTTGAACTTGAGCTTTTTCAGGCTGAAGTCCTCGTCGGGCTCGATGGCGGCCACAAACTGGAAGGAGACTCGGCTGCTGCCCTTGGGGATCTTGTCGATGATGGCGAACTGCGGCGGCAGGCGGGAACGGACGAGCCCGAAGGAGAAGCAAAAAATTATGAAGAACGAAGGACAACACCACCGAACATTGACACGTGTTTTGACAACGATGCATGCGTCCTTGGTGCTGATACTGGAAAAGACTGAGCGGGCTCCGGACACACATGGAGACCAATGCAAACCACATGTGTGTGTACGAGTTGTGCGCATGAACACCTAGATTTTTTTTCAGTGGAACGGGGCGACGACGCCCTTCTGATGAAAAAAAGCCAACCGCCACAACAACAACGGAAACAACAAGAACGTCTCAACAACAAATCCAACAACAACGACAATGACAACGACGACAACACAACCAACGACTGTTCACCTGGCCGGCGTCAGATGCACCATCGGGGTTGTTTGCCACCACCGACGTCGAGTCCTCGTCGAACACGAACCCGAAGACCGCCGCGTCCACCACCTCCTTCGGGCTCGGGTTGTTCGCCGTAACCGTCACCTGAAGAGGAACACACAAAAAAAGTGCGAACCGGAACCAGTGTTACTGCCGTCAGCATCAGCCTCTTGAGCACCAAGACACGGGGCAGGTATTCACGCCTGGAACCCCCTCCTGCTGCTCTGCGATAGAGCCATAGGAGCCGGTGATAACTGCCGATTCAACAGCGTAGGACGAGTCGGGATTGTCTTTTGTTGCTTCCATAACCGAAAAAAAAATCCACTCACAAAGGAGCACAGGGCCAACATGCAGGAAAAGCAAACCGACGATACTTTCGCTTGCGCTGATAGCTTACAGAAGCCACAGAATAATACGGTAGGTGACGCAAGATATCACACTCCCCCAACCGTTTTCAAAGCTACTGCAGATTACTTCGTCGCAGCAAAGTGTTGTCGGTGCCGAAAATGGCGGCGCAAGAACCGTCTTGTCGAGAGCTTTCCGAAAAATGTATCGTTAGGTTGACATACCCTCTTCGTCGTGGAGAAGTCAAGCATTGAAGTTCGGTCCCGGGGGGTGCGGTATCTTACGTCATGCCACCTAAGGTATGCAGCTCTTCTTCACCGTCGGGAGCTCTTCTGCTGCTGTCGAGTGCTCTCGAGATATCTCAACGAAGAAGCTCGGCACATAACGTGACACTGATTCTACCAACCCGACCGTCGCAGCCACGCTTGACGAACCTCGGGTGACGCTAACGGGAACCCGACACATGCGTTAAACCACATCGTGATGACTCTCACCTTTACGCAGACTGGCTTAAGTCCCGCTCCCGCCTTTTCCCCTGGGACCTGCGGGTAACAACAACAAGATACGCCAAAACAGTGGATGACGGATGACGGGTGTCTCGCTGAGCAGCTCACGGGGATTGGGCATGCAGAGCCGCACGACCGGTTCAAAACCCAAAGAGGGATGCGTATGCATATAAACCACGATTGATATTGTCGTTGCCCCGCCTCCACATCCGCTGCAGCTCTCTTTCCCGCTGCTTCTTGGTCTGCCATGTCTTGACTCTCTCTGTCTCTGTCTCTCTTGCCCTCAACCTCTTCAAGCGTTCGATAGGTGGACTCGGATGAAATAGGGGAGTACACGGGACAGATCCTGCATTTAGCGCAGGACCTGTTGTCTTCGGCACCATACGCAAGGTGGCAAGCAAGAAGCTCCGCACAGCGCACGTTTATGTACCCGTGCAGCACTTCCCCGAAATTTGCAGTAGCGCTCACGACGTTCAACTCGGATCACGTTGAACCCGGGCTCTACCTCTGTAGTCATCGCATGAACCTAAAATAAACAACGCTATGAAGTAATTCATGGTCGAGAAGGAGAAAAGGCGGGTTTCTCAACGCAAAGTAATACGCCAAACTTGAGGACGAAGGCATTCCCCCTCTCGGAACCGGCCCACGAGAGGGGATCCTTACCTTTGGTTTCATCAGGAAAAACTAATTGGTCAGCTGGATCTCTACCCCAACACGAGCCTTTCGGAAAAAGCCAGACAACGCAACTATTTCATGACCAACTTGCACTACAAGTAGGGCATTTTTGGGTGCACGGGAACAACAAAAAAAGGTCGCTCCGAGGCAAACGCGCGTCAATGAAACAAGTGCTCCGATAGACGAAATTGCATGTCTTGAGCACCACCCGAAGTTGGCATCTCATGTACTCCTCAAACCGGGGCAGGAACGTTGGAATGCTTTGTGTCGTGGCAGGCATCGACGATAATCACCTGCGTTTTTGGCGGGCACACGACCGAGGCGTACTCCGGCTCCGTGAGCTCCATCTTGATAGGCCCGAACGCCGCGGCTTCGTCCGGGACTGACGCCGACGCTAGCGTCGTCACGCCCACGGCAGCCGCCACCGACTTTCCCACCCCTGCGGGTGTGTGATGTGTCATGTGATGTTTCATGTGATGGACGGGCGGGTTCCACGGTGGGTGAGAAGGGCAACGAGAGGGGGGGGGGGGGG